GTAAGGTGCCTTTACATTGAGTGAAAGACACTATAGAAATGCAAATAATCAATGGGTTTGACTCTCTATTCCATTAAGCCAGTTTTACACTGGTATAACTCCAAAACTGGGGTGAGGAAACAGGGAACCAGAAGCATTAGCAAACTAGGAGAAGGAGGAACATGAGAACAGTAAATAATTATTACAATATTAGCAACATTCATCCCAAAAATGTCAGGATCATACTCCAAACCTTGCATCTGCCAAGAGTTACAGGGCCAAATTCTCAGTGAGTGTGAATTACCATAGCTTCATTGACTTCAGTGCAACTATGCTGATTTACACCAGCAGAGAATCTGGCCCATAAGTCACACCGCTCTCAAATGCTTAGACTAGTCCCAAGTACAATGTGCTTGGTGGTAACGAGCATAACGTACAAAGACAAGCTAGTTTTGAACGCCAATAAAACTCAACCATTGATATAAAGTCTCTTCATACTGTTCAAATTGAAGGCAAGACAAGCCTTTCATTAGGATACCGTTTTCCTGGCTCCTTTTCTGTGCACCAAACATTTGTGCTCGATAGTCACACACACATACAATTTGATTACCCCTCTGCAGTCAGGATACGATCACTAAGATAAAAATCCGCTCATAATCAAGGTAGGTTTCACTAGGGAGCTTTTTATTTATTTAATTATTTATTGTAAAAATTTTCGAAGTGATTATTTGGGAAAAGTTTGACTTATTGAAGTGCTTTCAAAAGAAGAGGCCAGTCTGGGAATTTGTTTAGCCCTGCCATTGCCCAAAAAGAATTGTCTTTCCCCAAAGAGCTTCAGAAGGAGTTTTGTCTGATTCATCACAATGGCCCAAATCCTCCAGTATATTTAGGCACCGACGTACCTTTGAGGATTGATGCCATTGTGCCTAACATATTTGGAGTATTTTTTCTTTTTTTAAATCCTGGTTAAAATCAACCTTTAAAAGGACTGTAATTTTGCTTCCTGGAACTCAACTGTTTTTCTTACCTTCTGGGCAGGTACCAAACCAGAAATGTCTCCTCCCGCTTTCAGAGAGGCATTGCAGATGAATGAGAATTTAATATACACCCATCAGTTCCTAGCCATTAGAAAACTTACAAGTGAATTAGGGATTTCTCAGTCCTGCTGTGGAGCCAGGCTGTGAGTTTTACTCCTGGGTGTGTGTTTGAGGTTGCTAAGCAATAAATCCAAAGGTTGCTATGTCTCATCTACTACTCAAAACTGCAGTAGATTGTCTTCTGCCTTTGGCAGTTCAATATAAATTCTTCCTTAACTTACATCATTGTGTCATATGACCAGGGGAAAAAAAAGGTCTAAGGAATGGCAACACATATAGCACTAAATTGCCGTGCTGCCCGAGAGACTATCCATCAGTGCCTAGGGACAGTAGGCTGGCCTTCAGATTCAGGGATCATGAATTCCAGCACTGCCTCATTCACTAGGGACAGAAATGGAGAGTTTTTAGGCCGAGCTGAGGATTGTACCAAACAGATGTGAGAACCTGAGAGCATAAATAGAAATTAATTACAGGCCAAACTGAAATACACATTACTGGGTTCTTCTTTTCATTAAGAATCAAGAAACTTTGGAGTGGCCTGCGGAGTAAGACAGCTGCAGTAAACAGAAGGGGGTCTTTAAATACGCTGTTCCTTAAGAACAGATTTAGACTGGAATCTGCACGATACAGATCTATCATTATTTCTCTTGTGTATAATGGAGAACCCGTTCCACAGGATGAAAAGGAGGAGGGAAAGATAAGTGGTCTGCATGAGACTAATTCTGTTCTCATTCACCCCGGTGTAAATAGAGAGGCACGCCAGTGGCTTCAACAGAATTACATTGGCGTAATTGAGAGCAGAATTTCTCCCAATGTCTTTATTGTTTGAATTACAAACTAGCACTTCTGGAATGGCAAACTTTTCCAGTAAATTGTATTTATCTTATGCTATTCTTTCTGCAATGCAATGTCTCTATACTTTTTGCTTTTTAAGATGCATGACCATGTGGATTGACCCATCTCCACCTGCACAAGAACTCTGGACTATGACTTGTATGGGCTACTTATCTTTGGGACTACTGCACTGTACCCTATCCTGCAGTACAGGCGTATGATTGTTCATTTCATGGGATATCAGAGACTGTCATAAAACATGAACCTTATCAACTTTAATCTACCAAAACAAAGGTTGAAAATATGATTGTTTTTCCAAAATCTGGTGCATTACTTGTTTGAACAGTGTAACAGGGTGTAGCAGGGCTCTCTTTGTTCCTGCCTCTGCTCTGCTCCAAAAACCACGCAGAGACCCTCAGGTAGGGTGACCAGACAGCAAGTGTGAAAAATCGGGACGGGGGTGGGGGTTAATAGGAGCCTATATAAAAAAAAGACCCCAAAATCAGGACAGTCCCTATAAAATCAGGACATCTGGTCACCCTACCCTCAGGTTCAGCAATCACCAGTGCAGTTTAATTACAGCGTTCAATGCCACCACCTTCTCCCCTGCAGCTTGGAGGTTTCAGCCTTAAGGGCGTCACAGTCTCTGCAGCCAGGAGGGAAGAGCTAGCACTCTCCTTCCCCTCTCTGGCTTCCCTCTGCTTCTTTCCTCTGGGCCTGTCTATAACCCCAGGCTAATTAGGCTGGCAGCTGTTTCCCCTTCGCCAATCAGGCACAGGTTTCTCTAGCCAGTTCCAATCTACCTTCCTTAATTGGAGCTGGCGTGACAGAGGGCTGGCTCAGGAGTCCCAGCCCAGCACTCCGTCACAAACAGTATTGTCCGTCTAATTCAGGAACGATTGAGTACTAATTCCAGATCTGGCTCAGTCTGTGACTCTGGGAAAGTCACTTCACCTTTTTGCCTCAGTTTCCCACAGGGGGACATGAGAATTAATATATCTGTAAAGTCCTCTGAAGACGAAAAGAACTACAGGTAAAATTCACCCTGTGCAGAGGTCTACCCAAGGTCACAACACCACTTACATCCCACTTAAATTCTTGAAATAAAATTTGTTCCAAAGAGCTGAACTGGAGCTTAAATGATGCATAAGTCTCATGTGGGTCCTCTAGAGAGGGATAAAATTAACCCAGCAGTGAGTATAATTATAAACTGGTGGTGGCTGCAAACCTCAATGGGGAAATATCACTTTAAATACATAGTTCAATTTATGGCCGCGTACAGGCACCAGCATAGGCGCCGACTCCATGGGTGCTGGGGTGCTGGAGCACCCACGGGGAAAAATTAGCAGGTGCTCTGCACCCACCGGCAGCCAAGCTCCCCCCGCCCCCACCCCCTCCTCGCCTCCTCCTCCCCTGAGCGCGCCGTGTCCCCACTCCTCCCCCTCCCAGCGTTTCCCACCCACTGCTTAGCAGCTGTTTGGCAGCACTTAGGACTTTCCGGGAGGGAGGGGGAGGAGTGGGGACGCGGCGTGTTCCGGGGAGGAGGCGGTAAAGAGGCGGGGAAGGGGTGGGGACTTGGGGGAAAGGGGTGGAATTGGGCGGGGTGAGGGTGGGGTCAGGGGGGGTCGAGCATCCACGGGGCAGAGGGGAAGTTGGCGCCTATGGACACCAGGGAATTTTCTTGCAGACACAGCCTCCTGGGCGGTATGGGGGAGGGGAGCAGCGGCCCCCTACCCCAGGGTTGCTGGCAGTGGTTGGGTCCTGCCCACCTCTGGAGACACACAAGCTGGAGGAGCAGGCAGCCAGTAAGTTCCCCACCTTCCCAGGGCTGATGGGGTCAGGCTTCAGCCCTTGGGTGGCGGATGTCAGGCTCCAGCCATAGGGCTTCAGGCTCCGTTCCCCAGCCGTAAGGTAGTGAGCTCTGGCCCCAAGGTCACTCCCTCCTCCAGTGCCCCTGGCCCCTGCTGCCTCCATATCCACCTCCTCATCCAGGGCTTAATTTGTCCCCAGGCTTGCCGGGGCTGAGTAAGTCTGCTGTGAAAAGTAATATTTGTACATTTGTTGATATCACTTTTTCATAGCAGACTTAGTAACTAGCACGTCTTAAAAAAAAGCAACCAAAAAAAAAGCAAAAGACATAAGAAAAAAGACAAGAACATACAAAGCACCTTATTTGTGTTTCTATTCTGTTTAGGCCCAGTAAAGAATAGAGACAACTGTAAATTATTTTTATTATTGAGTCTGGAAAAAAAATCCTACATAAATGACAATGATTTGGACATGGGTATGTGCATCTTTATTTGTTTTCCCTAAAGTTAATTAAGTATTTTAGGAAAAATTGTCAGAGCTTTTGCTGGTGGCTGCACTCTGAGGCCACCAAAAAAATTGTTGTGAGAACCCCTGGGGCCCATGTACCTAATCTAGTGTTGTCCCTGTCACAGGGTTTGCTGGCCCCTTTAAGGTAGTCCGGGCCCAGGCTACCAATGACAAGCTATTTTAAGGGGAACGAGTATTTCTAGGCAGTTAACTGAATAACAAGCACCTTGGCCTGACAAAAGGCCATCTGGGCTCAGTTGTAGGGAGGTCTTCAGAGAGAGAAGCTCTCTGAAGTGAGAGGAGCTCCCGGAGACCACAGATCCCAATGGCAAGGGCTGTGCAAGACCTGAGCCGAAAGGAAAGACTTTATTTCAAGTGTTATTGTATTTAATGAAATAGAACCACAGCAGGGGAATTTTGTCTTACAAGCTTTTGGACTGTGTATAGTTCTTAAGAGGCCCTGAGAGAAGGGAAACTGAGGCAGGAAGTGCTGCAGTGCCACACTAGGTCAGCAGGGGGTGCTACAGGGTAGGCATAGCCCTGAGACAGTACCCTGAGATGTTTTATTGTCTTCTGTGTGCTCCTATAAATACTCTTTCAAAGGTCTGCATGGTTGTAATTTAGACCTTTGGCCATCTTTCTGCATATTTAATGTCCTTCTATATAAACAATATTCTCCTGAATACACTCAAATACCCATTTGTCCAGCTAAGGCACCCTTCTGTCCTCACTATAATACTAACTTCATTTTACTATATCGCATTTGTTTTCAGGCAGGGAGCATGAAACAAAAATAATCTAAATCAGCTTTCATGGGGAAAATACACCGAAATGAATTGTAAATTTTTTTTACTATTATAATTAGCAAAACAGATGACTAGGGAATAGACACTTATTTTAGTGTATTTGCAAAATGTGTTGAAATAACCCCTAGATTACTGTAATAAAATGCATCTGAAGCTTTGGGCATGGAATTGTTAGAATAATCTAAAATGTGGCTTTAAAATGGATTCTAATTCTATTCACTTCAAATCAGGTTCTGCATGATTAATTCCTGTTTGTCTTTTCATTCCCTGGTGTACCTGATGTTTTTCTTTTGGAATTCAAAATGTTATTGTTGTTGTGGTCAATCTATAAATCTTTTTTAAAAAGGAAACTATCAATTGTAAAAATACTCTAATTTTCCTCAAAGCTGCTGTTAAACTACCAAATGAGAACAGGCGAGGGAAAAAACTGGCAGGAGTGATCTAAATGGCTCTATTTTTATTTCTCTGAAATTTAAATACTGTGGGCTATAGCAAAACAGTAATCATGCCCTATTTAACTCGGATGTTATATCTTAATGTTTCCTCAAAGCAAAGCCCATCCTTCTGCCATCAAATACTTGTGCTGTGCTATTGACAAAATAACATGCTGAATATGTCATCACAGATGTTTTGCTGGGGAAATTCTTATTATATGTTATTTTTGGTTTTGTACACAAGATGAAGTCTGGGGGCATTCTGTGCCCTTTTATACTTCATAGCGGGACTATGCTATAATCGCTGATGTTTGGAAATACTGCAAATAAAATAAAAGGTGTGTCAGCAAGGGAACTATTTTCATATTTACTGAAGACAAAAATAATTCATGGTTTGCATGTGTTAAAAGCTCTCTGGGGCCAGTCCTGCTGAGCACAGTACCCACAGCAACTTGCAGGATATGGGCACAAACTTATGATCCCTGTTTTATATAAACCATTGGCTGTCATTATCACAGGCTGCATTCTAATTGTTCTTTTAAATCAGAATACAGTTCCTTTATAGCTTCCTCCTCTACACTTAAATGTTGCTGTTAAGAACTACTCCACATGCAAATTATAAGTTCCTAATGGCCTTCAATCCCCTGCATCTCTGTGGTTATTTTAGTTAACAACGGATTTATAAGACCTTTAGCTGACTATAGAAAACAACTTGGTTATTTACTTGTTAGGAATGACTTTTTACAAGTGTTTGCCGTTTAAATATTCCTGGAAGTGCCAATGAATATGTGAAAGTCAGAGAACTGTCTCTTGGTAGGCCAGTTCAGATAAGCATTTATCTGATTACTCCTGGAGGGAAATCCCAGGACTTCCACTTTTCCAAATCTATTCAAAACGAAACCCCAGTGCCATCTGAGAGGATCGCCCCAAGGCATTGGGAACTCCTAACCTGCACACTGTTTACTATAGATTGTACTACAGAGATATGCAAATTGAGGAAAGGTGCGAAATCCACCAGTGCTCATCCCCATGCCTGCAGGAAACCATCCATTGGAATTAATTAATACACCAAGCACAATACTTCACACAGAAAGGTAAAAACCAAGACCCCTGTCATAAGTTATGGGGTAAAAATCCTTCCCATCCTCAAATGTGAGGCCCCCTCCTGCTTCCATTGAAGATAATGGCAAAAATCTCATGGGAGCATGGATCATGAGTTGACTGTCAGTTCAACACTGTGCCTGTGAAAGCATCTCCTTTTCTGCTAAGCTTCTCTGTCGTCTCTATAACCAAATGCCTGGGAACACATAACATCTGATCCTACACTTCTTGTGTCCCCAAAGCTCCTGCAATAGGAGGTTTGGGTGTACAAGGAATGCAGGATTGCTCCCATGTTTGTGCTTTTACCATGCCTCAAATTTTCTGTTTCTCAGCTTCCAAGCACACAGTACAGTTATTGCTCATTATAAGGCACATTTCTCATTTCAGATCTAAGTATAGCTTAATTTCACAGACCTGAACTCCAATCTCTTAAATTATAGTACATGGTTTAAATTGGAAGAGATGAATCAGGAAAATATTAAAGAATTCCCCACACCTCCTATTTTCCCTGTGTCCCTTGGATGGGATCCAGCAGTCTGATCGCTCTTTTCCCTGATTTTATCTTTACCCCCATGAAACCCTGGGAAAAATAAATAAATAAAATTCCAGGCACACTAGAGGCCTAATCCTGAACTCCTTGCTAAAGGACTAATCCTGCATTGTGCAGGATCTGCATTGCAGAATCAGCGTCCAAGGCAAAACTCCCAATGCAGTCAATGTGAAGTGCAACATTAGTCCCTGAAACTTAGATGAAAAATCTGAACTGAACATTTTTATCTGCATTCAAATATTAAAGAAATGTAAACAGATTGTTTTTTACCTTAGGGACTGGTCCACACTGCCCAGCTATTTCTGTTTCACTGAAACAATTCAAAGAATATACATTATGCAAATGTAAAATACAATTTACAAATGCAGATGATGAAAATACAAGCAACCTTATAAATGTTTTAAAGTTATTAAAAACAAAACTGTATCCCACTCTGCCCAATGAAATTGTGTTTATCTATGACATCTTAATACGTAATTTTTTAGTTAAGTACATGCTGCAGTGGTTTGCTGAATTGGGACCACAGTGATGAATTGGAGCCACAGTGCTTACTAGCGAAGCTAGAGAAGAAGGAAGGCCCTGTGGTTAAGACCCAAAAGCCACAATCCCACAATTGAGGAAGAAGGCTGTGCTGATTTTAAAAAATGACATAGTTTAGAGGGGAAGTGAAGGCAGCTATAAAAGTAAAAAAATAATATATAACACAAGGAGGAAAGGGAAATTAGATAGTAATGAATATAAATCAGAAGTTAGGAATTATAGAACTTTGATAAGGGAAGCAAAGAGACACAAGGAGAAATCTTTGGCCAGCAGAGTTAAGGACCATAAGAAAGTGTTTTTTCAATATATTAGGAACAAAAAGAATCCTGACAATGGTATTTTTTCCACTACCGGTTGGAAATGGTAAAATTATCAATAATAATGTAGAATAGGCAGAAGTGTTCAATAAATATTTCTGTTCTGTATTTGGGTGGAAAAAGATGATAGTGTTATTTATACAGTGTTAATCTCCTTTCCATTACACTAATATCTCAGGAGGATGTTAATGAGAAACTATTAAAGTTACACATTTTTAAATCAGCAGGTCCAGATAACTTGCACCCAAGAGTTTTAAAAGAGCTGACTGAGGAGCTCACTGGACCATTAATGTTGATTTCACTAAATCTTAGCACACTGGGGAACTTCCAGAAGACTGGAAGAAAGTTAATGTTGTGCCAATTTTTAAAAAGGGTAAACAGGATGATCTGGGTAATTATAGGCCTGTCCGCCTGACATTGATCCTGTGGAAGATAATGGAACAGATTATATGGGACTTGATTAATAAAGAATTAAAGGGGTAATGTAATTAATGCCAATCAACATGGGTTTATGGAAAATAGATCTTGTCAAACTAACTTGATTTTTTTATGAGACAGTTATGCCCAACAGTTCTATGTTAGTAAATGCTATGCCCAAGAGCAAATGTTTAATGATCAAGCAACTGAAAGCATTTTTAAATGAGATTTCTTCTCTACTTAAATTCTCCAATGTCAATTTTTTTAAAAGGCCCAAGCCTGCAATCCTACACAAATCCAGAGGGTTGTAACTTTTTTTTAAATTAAAGGATTAAAATTTTAAAAAAGGTAATGAGTCTGTTACAGGGGTCTGTAACAACCTTAATTTTTTAAAAAAGGACATAATAATGGCTTCCATTTACTTTACATGTGAAATAATTGTTTGTAAACACTTCTTTTTGCCGTAAATTAAACCTCTTAAAATTCCCTTGATCATGAACTTCTCATATTACTTAACAATTTTTTACACATAATCAGCTATATCAGAGTCATTGTAACACATGGGGAAATTTTTATAAGGAAGCGAAGGGAATGCACTGGAGTGGAAAAAAGCAATCCAGTTACAAAACTAGATCACATAGAGGATCACAACACAAAAGGAGTATTCTTTTCTATCTCTTAAAATGCAAGTGAGACCAGAAAGAAGAGATTAAGTTTGTACTGATCTCCTGAACAACCATATCTATATTCTATGCTTGCTTATACAGAGTGCAGTACACTGCTGAAAATAAAATCTATCTAATAGAAGTGGTGAAGGTACCCGAAGGTTCAAAGCTAGAGACTGTCATAAAAAGCTTGTCATAGTATATGATCATGCAAAGCATAAATATATAAAAGAGTAAAAACACCCTCTGGTTGGAAAACTATGGAATACTTAGAGCCGGGGGAGGATAGCTTATAAAGGAGCTGGAGGTAATTTTCCTGATATCTCCACTATAAATCACGTAGCAGTGCTAACATGCTTTCCATAAAAACTATGTTTCAATATAATAATTTGATGGTTGTTATAAGCCGTTCAATGACACTTTCTTTATGTATGCAGTGTTGTTATAGCCACATTGGTCCCAGGATATCAGAGAGACAGAAGTTAGTCCAATAAGATAACTCATCCACCTTGTCTCTTTACTTGCTTTATGCATGTTTCTTTGCTTATTCTCCCCTTCTAATCTGATCCCCAAAACAGGTGGATTTTTGTGGATTCCGTATGTTCAAAGTTCTCACTTTCTGCATAACCCTGAGTGAAGCATTCCAGCAAAAATCACTTTCTAAGCTCAGGTTTATTTTAACGAGTCTGTTTTTCATCCTCCTTCATCCACTAGGAGGCAAACGCTCATTAGTGAGCTTAACTTTTGTCCCGTGCTAAAGGATAACTGCCGTACAATTTGCAGAGCCTGCCTGATAATTATTTTGACTGCAGGGCATTGGGGGATAGACCAAAGAACTAGCACTGAGGGCTTTTCTTGTGCTTAGATGTAAAGGGACGAAAGCTTCCGTGACAGTTCTGTCAACCTGAAGGAGGAGATGAGAGTGAAATGCACTGAGTGCCTAAGAGGAATAGATGGGTTAATGCAAGCTGTTGGAGAAGAAGAGTGCTTGCTTTCTGTTTAAAATGTATTATGGTCTCTGCTAATCACATTTAATGTTCTCATTAGATGCCTACAAAAGGCCGATTCTTCATCCCATTAACTTCAATGGCAAAACATGACCCAAATTGCTGAATCCGCAAAACAAATAGGTTTTGCTCAAGCTGTTAAGATAACAGTATTGCTGCCCACCTCTCACCCCTCCTCCCCCCCACCCCTGCTCCCAGACTTCCACACTTTGAATTCTGGGGGGCATTTTATGGCTTAAATTTGTGTGCGCACATCAAATTTAAGGGGGAGGGATAGCTCAGTGGTTTGAGCATTGGTCTGCTAAACCCAGGGTTGTGAGTTCAATCCTTGAGGGGGCCACTTAAGGATGGGGCAAAATCAGTACTTGGTCCTGCTAGTGAAGGCAAGGGACTGGACTTGACTCTATGACCTTTCAGGGTCCCTTCCAGCTCTATGAGATAGGTATATCTCCATATAGTATCACAGACCCATCACTTTCTAGGTATCTGGGCCTCTGGATTTAGTCAGTGGCTCTCCCAGAGAATCCCAAAAGGGGATTGGATGCTGTTTTCTTTAGAGGATGGCTGGAATATTGGGGAATTACAAATATATCATCTGTGTTGCCAACTCTAGTGATTTTATCATGAGTGTCACAGGAAGTTTTTCTTAAAGCCCCAGCTCCTGGATCCATGGGATTCCACTTCAGATTTCATTTTCCCCCTCAAAAAAGAACAAGAAGCAGCAGCAACGTGATCCCAGTGCTCCCTAAAGACTCAAAAGCCAGAAGGTAAACAAAAATCACCCCGCAGCTATTAATTATGATTTAAATCTCATTTTAAGCTGATCTCGTGATTTTGGAGGCATGATTGTTGAACCCTTGAGGGTATCTGCCATAGTGATACACCCTGCTGGGTGCCTCCTGGGAATCCTTTCCAACAGGGGAAGGGCCGAGCCCCGAAGAGCTCAGTCCTGCGCCCGTTTCCCAAAGGGAGTGGAGCAGGAAAGGGCTCTGCAGCAGCCCCAGCAGAGCAGGGGTTAAAGGCTGCTGCAGCAGGGCGGGGGCGTGGCTGGGCTGACAGGTGGCGCATGCGCCTTGGCGCCTTATTGTGCCCGGCCGGCCCAACCCCGCCGCGCCTCACTCACTCGGCGAGGGGCCGTTGGCGAGTGCTGAGCTGCTGCCCCCGGCGGTCACCGCGGCGCTGCCGCCGCCTCCCTCCCCACCCGCCCGGCTCCGGGGCCCCGCCATGGAGTAAGGCCCCCTCCCGCGGCCGGACGGGGCCCCCGCCGCGCCTCGATGGCTCTGGTAACGGTGCAGCGCTCGCCTACCCCCAGCGCCACCTCCAGCCCCTGCGCCTCGGTGAGTCTCCCCGTCCGGCCGCCGCCTCCCTGCCGGCGCCCGCTCGCTGAGGCGGAGGGAAAGGCAGTTGGCTGCCACATAGGGTCCGGCCGGTGTTTGTACGCATGCGCGCTCCGTGCCGCTTGCCCCCCCCTCTCTTCTCCCGGGCCTGACAGCTGAGCGCGCGCAGGGCAGCCCCAGGGATGCTGCAGGCTCTGGGCAGGCACTGAGCCTGGGGACCCCTCCTGGGCAGCGGGGAGGGGACAAACAGGATCGCTCTTGCTTCCCCCCCCCCTTGCCTTTTGCAAAAATGTCATTATAGCGTGCTTGCAAAACGCTTACGTGAATCAATGTCTGGGTCACGTATATACCACTCCCCCATGTGGTTCTGGCCCATCTGTGGTGCTCTGCTGCAAAGAAATAGACTGGGGAAGGGGGTTCTCTCCTGGGCCATTTCTCTAGAGCCTGTGTGGGTTTCCGTTTGGGGGTTGTTGGCTTTTAATTTATTGAAAGCAAGCTGATCAGGTCAGGTGAGTCTTAAAAATATGGGTATCATGGATGGAATGTTTTACCCAACTTCAGATGTAAAATGTTTGCAATGAAATAAAGTTTCAGTGGAAAGAATTTGTTTCTGGGTTTAAATGCTGCCCTGTAGTGTTTGTCACATAGTTCAGGGTGTAAAGGAGATGAATGAGAACCACCGGAAAGTGAAATGGACTATAAATAAACTGGCTGTCCAGTGTGTAAGAAATGTAAAAATCATTGGTTAAAAGGAAACTGGGATTCTAATAACTGACAATGTTAAATTCCTCCCCTACAGAACTGTATTCTAAAAATGAAACCTGGTATTTGCCTTCATGCATCTTCCATGCATGAGCTTTCTTTCAGAAAAAGTAACTAGATTTTCCTTCTCAGTGCTGCATGTAATCTTCAAAAAGCTGTATCAAACCGAGATCGTGTTTGAAACAGGAAGATTTTAAATCTCTCAGTGGCAGTGAAAGCTCTCATTAAAGGAGTCTTAAAAACTACCTAAAATTAATCCCAAATCAGGGAGTGTGGCAGGTTGTGAAAATGATGCTGTCATATTCAAAATCATATTTTGTTTAAAAGGGGGGGGGGACTGAATGTGAAGCCTCTAAATTACTACTTACAATTACTATAGTTTGTTACTAGCAGTTAATTGAGGATGGCAATGAAAACTGCGAAGTGGGTTTCACTTTGTTTTATATTTAGTTTCTAGGTGGCTTCACTTTGAAAGTCTCCTGTATTATCACACTTTATGTTTAAGTTGCAAATGCTTCAGGGGAATGTTGAAATCCCAGTTGTTTCTGCTAAAATAAAAACCGCTCTGAAAATATTTCTTGTTGGGTTGGGTAAAATCTCTTTTGATCTAAATTGTGGATTAACTGTTTGATAATATCACATCAAACGTTATTTTGGATACAAAGGTATTAACACCTTTGGGTTTTTTTCCTGTCTTGCTAAAACATGCCTGTTTTATTAGCAATGCAGATTAACTCCACTTGTGTTACTTTGCTATAAATATTGATTAACTCTGTTACTTCATCATATGTTGTTTTCACAACCATGCATGGGGAAACAGTCTATGCTTAGCTGCTTCTAACTTCTTCCATGTGTAAAACACTTCAACAGTTAGCCTAATGCCTCTTTAGGGTAGGAATTCTTGTCTTGGTGACAAGACTGATTTAAAAAAAAAATAATAATAATAATAATAATAATTCACCCCCCCCCCCAACTGATGCCTACTCTCAAATAGCTCCTTTCATTTAAACTTGTCATGATGATCACTCTGCAAGGCTGCCCTGTTTGGTGCAGCTAACTAGCCTGTTTCCTTTCTTGGTTACCAAAAAAGTTGCTTTGGATCAGGCTCACTCTGAACAGTTAGGAAAGAGAGTGTGGATGCATGAATGCTATGGGTGTGTACAGAGAATACAACCTTTAACATATTTAGCAGCATTAGCTCTCTTTCCTCATTCTAATAAAATTGAGATATAATCCGCTAAACTAGTCACTGTAAATCCTGTGGTACTCTTCACAAGAATAAGTGTGTGGGCTCTCATGTCCTGACCAAACTTTCACTTTAGTAATTACTTTCTGCCTACCTAAAACTCTCCTTGCAGTCTCAAGTGGAAATGGTATTCTTCACTTTCTGCCCAAAACGGTTGTATGGAGTTTTTGTGAACTCTTCAAATGCCTTCTGCATTTCCTTGGTGGTTGAAGCATGTTTATAATTATTATTATTACTACAAATAATAATATAAAACTGTAAAAGTCCTTTGCAATCTTTTAGAATGAAAGGTGCTTTAGAAAAATATATGCTAGTTCAGCTCATCTGCATATCTGCTGCTAAACTTTCTTCAATGTAAGCAAAGTATAGCATTTGGTTTCAATATATTAGCTATGCCACCAAGCTCAAAGAGTCACTGGAGTTAAGTCTCCAATCTTTGTCCATCAAATGCCACAAGAATTCCCAAGCTACGCTGTAGTGGAGACTGTCCTCTAGCTCAGTTTGGCAAATATCCAGCTCTTGTCAGAATTCCACTGACCTGTGCAGTGCCACTGGGTACCTGTGTGAGAAGGTTGGACTGAAAATTTCCTGGTGAGATGGCCCAAGAATTTCAGGTGATGGTCCCAAATGAAATACTGAAGGCTTGTGATTCTGACAAGTCTGTCATCTTGTTAATCCTCCTTAAGGTCCTTAGCCTGAAATTGACTCTGTTTGGGAGGTCCCCTCTGCCCAGGGAGAGCCCTGTTGATTTCAACAGGATTCTGCACAAGTGCAGGAGTCTGCTCATTGAGTCCCTTGTAAGAGCGGGACCTGCAATTCTGTGGGAAAATGTCTGTAATTTAGCAAGATGTTTGGTCAAACTGTGCCTTAATCCTTTCTCTATGTGCACAGGATCATAGGCTGATCATTTTTCTACAATAAATAAGACTGCCTGCTGTAATGTTCTAATAAACTAATCGAAAAGATTTTTTATTTTGCTACATATGGATATTTTACGTCTGGACACCAACATGTTATACCAATCATCTGGAGTTAAATGTAAACACCAATGTTTTGTTCCTTCTCTAGGTAACGTGGGGATGAGGTCAAGTTACATCTGATACATTAGTCCTCCACAGAGTGTAGAAGTCTGACATGTAGCTTGATGTTTTCATATCTTGACATAAAAATTCTCAGACTGCTGCTTTGCCATCTCAAACTGGGAGTGAGGAGGAAGCGTCACACTTGTGTATGCTTCAACAGGTGACCACATGGAAGAACTAATTCAATTTTCAGGTCACTAAAGGACTTTGAGGACAGAGTCCCTTTATAAATTGGTTGATGCTCTTCTGTTAGGAGCAGACTCTCTAGACAAGAAGAAGAGGTTGAAATAGTGCAGTGTCAATGTCCTTGAACCACAGGAGATTTCTGCATTGTGTGCTATAAAAGTATTCTAATTGGCTTCCCAGGATTCAGGGGAATAGATGATTCAAATGACTTTGAAATTGGATGGTTTTTATTTATAGATTTTTTTTTTTTTTTTTTTTGTCCTCATTGCCATAGAATTTGAGCACCTCACAAATATTTATTGCATTGTAGAGGAGTGTTTCATACCGTGATTTGCCCAGGTTGTTATAGATCTGCACCATGACCTCTTAATTGTCTGTCTGAGTTTCTGATTGTAGTTTGGCTTTTGACTATGCTGGCACTTTTATCAAAAAAGAGAGACCTCTGTGCTGCATCCTACAGAACATTTCCATTCTTTCTACCAGAAGCTGGAATTATCAGAAGTGTTTTATGGGCAGAGTATGGGTTCAGGGGCGATTTCATCAAGGTGGAGTACGTGGTTATTGTGGGAGTTAGAGAGGGGATACTTTCATCAACACATCAGCCTATGTTTAAGAGCTGAAGGATGTGAACCTTGTAAAGATTTCCAGTTTCTCTTCTGGAATATTGGTTGTTTGCTTTTTAGGCAAAAGCCTAGTTCATCTTTTAAGAGTAAAGGATGGCTTTTTATCAGTGTGTTTTCCCTTTAACGACAGCAAAAACTGTCCCTCTTCTCCCTGTCTGAATCCCCACACTCCTCTGGAACTGTGTATGTGGGGACATGGCATGTGTGGTGCTTGCTGGCTCACACCGCAAAAAATTGCAATGCTGTGAATATTTTACACATAAACCTAAAAGTGAATGCAGATCTAGTCTCAAATACTTCCCTGTTTATAACCTACAGCTAGAAACCGTGCTTACAGGAATAGAATTCGGCCTGGCTTACCCTTAAAACTTAGCTCAGTGTGGAAGATCCACACTCTTGAGTGTCCTAGCTAAGCTGACCTTGGTGTAGACACAGTTAGGTGGACTGAAGAATGCTTGCAAAGTCCTAGCTGCTGTCACTCGGGGAGGTGGAGTTCCTACAGCGAGAGGAAAAACCCTGTCCATTGCTGTAGCACACTTAGCTATAGGAGCCAGAGAGGCTTGGGGCCAGATCTCTAGTAGGGAGGTTGGAAGGACCCAGGCCCTTGGTATCCTTCCCTTTGGGAGACTCTGTCTCACTAGTTGCGAATGCCTGTCAAAGAGGATCCTGGGAACCTGGCCTTGCAAAGTTCTTCTCGCGTCCCCACTCCACCCCCCAATGGCCTCATTTCAGTGGAATAGTATGTAAACTGACATCAGCTGGACTCATGCGCAGGCTGCTCCAGCAGGCTGTGTGGAAACCTGCTGTCTGAATTTGGACAATGCCAGAGAAAGCACTGCCACATTCTGTTTTGCTGTATGTCTTCCAGAACCTTGCCCTAGTCTGTTCCAATAACTCAGCCAGATGCCTTGCAATTTGTCAAGGTTCAATCAAGCCTTGTTCCAAGACATAATGAAGATTTGAGCTGGAGGACTCTATGGGATTTGTTAAAGGTGGAGTGAGATCTTGCACAATTCACTGGCTTGTCTATTCTCCGGCTCGTCTGAGACCAATAGAAATCTATGAACCGCTCTTGTGTGTTTTGGTTCCAAGCAACCTTTTCCTCTCCCATG